CTTGATTCCTTAAAAAGTTTAGGCCTTCAAAAGCAATTGGTTTATTAAATTTTTTTGTTATAGCACTATGTACGTGATTTGATTCAAATTTGGTAAATGGGTTTTATTTTTGGATCGCTAACAAAAGTCGTGTTATTAATTAAGGCGAGAAGAGCTGGGAATGCAATTTTCTTTTATTTTGGTCATTAATATTTGAGGATAAACTTATATGAAACATATCCTAGCCCAGAAAATAGCGTATTAAATTAAGCATAATATAGGGAACGACATTAAGAAATTATGAACATTAGTGATTAAATTCATTCACAAATCCTTTCCCTTGTGTCACAATAGATTCGACGCCAATATTAGCCGTATTATTTCTAATACATCCTCCACAATCTAACAATTTCACGTATAAGCAATTAAATAAATCGGAAGAACCATATATAGATTTTGAAAGTTAAATTTACTGCAATCGGAATAGAAATTTTCCTGCGTTCCACATTTAAATCATTAAATGTGTAGGGAACAACAGAGGCGTTCTTTGCAATTTGAAACACTGCATGTAAAGATTAAATAATGCTGATTAAAATATGATATGATTGATTCGGTTTAGTGCCATTTACATATCTAAAATTTACAATGTATGGTTAACGCTCGGGTTCACATTATCCAATGTACCAAATCGAAACTGGATATATTATTTCAGTCAACTAATTAATTACCATGCGTATTTTCAATATTTTGTTGTGAAACAGTGTCAGTGATCTCTGAGTATGACATAAGTGGTCATATAAAAATGTAAGTGGAGAAGTGACTGAAAGAAATTTCACACGAAAAGAAATCGAGTTGGAGTGGAACGACATTAATATGAATTACGCTTATTTATATCTTCTTGGACACTGATTTGTGAGAAGTTTAAAATGTTTTTAGTATTCTTTGGCAGCTTTCATTTTAAAAATTGGTTTGGTAGAGTAATTAAATCGTATAATGAGAATGAAATAGTAATAGTAGGGAATAATAATAAACATCATAAAAACTCCCCAAATAAAGCCGAAGCTATCTAGAAAAACGTGGACATATAAAAATTCTCATCGACATTGCCAATGCGCCAGCTACGATAGAAAGATTTCTATTCACGCTTGCCATCGCGAACTCCAGTCAAGGCCACTGTGCAGAGCCTAATAAAATAACACATATATCGTATTTAAAAACACTCTTTAACTTTAAATTTAATTAAAATTATCGAAAAGCGGATTATGTTAATTTTTATCGCCATCTTGCTTAAATAAAGTGGGATAGTTTATGTGACTTCTTTGATATAAATTTAACATGCGATTATTTTTATGACAAAATTTATCGGTCTCTACACCAATTTGTTCCTAATACAAAATCTAAAAATAGAACGTATCCACCTTGATTCTCTTCGGACATAATAAAAAATCTTCGGTTAAAATACATTTGATGAAAAAAAAAACGATATAATGAACCCTTAGTATTAGAAGAAATTAAAGATCTCAGGCGAAACATGAAACAAAATACAGATACATAATATAAGAATTATTGTACTAATATCGAAAACAGTATCTCTAAGAACCCTAGTAGCTTCAGGCAATTTATTAATAACAAACGAAAAACCTCTACTATACCTAATTACATTCTATATGTACAATAACGAGAAGTTTAAAGATCAGAGAGCATTGCCATTGTTTTTCCCTCTTACTTTCACGACTCATACATGCCTTCTGAAATATCTAACCCTACATTAATGGATAACTCCGCAATGGGTTTTTTCACGTTGAAAGTTTTACAGAGTTAGATGTCTATAATAGCATCAAAACATTAAAACCCAAAAACACTTCGGGGCTTGATAGTATTCCTATATTTATAATAAAGGATTGCGCTAATGTAATTACGTATCCTTTGACTATATTGCATAATCTCGCGCTAAAAACTCCCACATTTCCAAGTACGTGGAAGATATCTAGATTAATTTTAAAAAAAGGTGATAAAAACAATATTCTGAATTATAGACACATCACTATTATCAAGAACTTTACGAAAATACCTGAAATGCTACTCCACGAATCCACTTTCTACTACATGAAACATTGCATTACCCCATATCAACAAGGTTTCATGCATAGTATATAACGTCGGGTTTTTCCCTCATCATTTTTAAATGGTAAAGCCAAGATACTAAAAAACGAAGTATAGTCTATAAATACATTTATCGAATTAAAACAAAAAACAAATTAAGGATCTTTTCTCCGGGCGGGGAAGCGAGCGATTAACTAGATAATTTTCGTAAACTTAAAACTAAGTACATAAATGAAAAGAGTAGGCAATCGTCAATTTACTAATAGAGATTGTCCAGGTTATATAGAATATTGTGTTAGGCGCCACACTCCTTTTAAAAGTGTTCTTATTAAAGTTCTGAATAATTAAACTCAGTAATAACGCTAAAAAAGAGGGAAAAACGGGTATTTACTTCCAACAGTCTCTCATTACGCTAATTATTAATGTCAACGGAAAAAAGTCAAATAAACTTTATACATAAAGTTCATAAACACAGACAGATTTGCAAATCATTAAAGTCAAATTATTCGTCGCACATTAGCGGCATCTCCAGCTGACACCGGTGGACGCTTATCGTTGCTAGGTACCTAGGTAGTTTATAATTTAATTAAGATGACCTTACAAGCGGGTGGAGCATAGCTCCCATATCTTTTAATTTTTTACTCAGAAAATGCCACAACCCTTGGGTACCACCTTCAGATCTGGTGCGCCGAGCAATACTTCTGTTCTGTTCAAAATAAAATCAACTCCACTCTCGTACTCACAAACGGTAAAAAATCAAGCTAATATGATCTCTCACACTCCAAAATCATCGTCCGATCCGCGCGCGCACTCATCGGAGCATTTTTAAACACGCAAGTTATTCAATAGCATGTTCAACGAAACTATTTTAATCTAATCTGGAATTTAAGATATAACTCGAACCATTTTATTTAATTTACAACGAATGTGATCCAATTTATTTATTTCCTAAAACGGACCGTTACAAGTAGGTCAACTATTATTAACCTCTTCTGTATTACACAAACTCTAGGCGACTCATTGAATGCTGCCATATAGATAGATGTGATCTACACAGATTTTTCTCCACCACTTCTGGAATCTTTCAAATCTTACCTTACAGATAGGGAACAATTCGTACAATATTGTGTACAATATCAATCTGTCGAAATAGCCTCCACGTCAGGAGTCCCACAGGGCTCTAATTTGGATCTACTTTTATTTAATATGTTTATAAATGACATAGGATCTAATTTGGACGTCCTTTATTTACATGACGCTGATGATGTGAAAATCTACGCTCCTATTAATAGTGATTGTAATATATTACAAGAAAATATTATTAAAATAAATCATTGGTGTAGTCAATAAATTACCTCCAAATGTATCAAAATGTCACGTCATGTCTTTCACAAATAAATTACGTAGTATAAACTAGTTATTCAATGAATCAAACAACCAGACCCGACACCATTCGTGATTTGGGTGTTATTTTTCACGCCAAACTCACTTTCAAAAATCACATTAATAATCTGACATCAGAATGTTACAAAACTTTAGGGTTCATTATTAGAAATTGCGTCTCCCGAGGGAACAGGAGCCGTAGTACATAGCTACAGATCAAGGGTTAGAATATTCTCAAGCCTAGGGCCTCATGCAACTGTTTTTCAGGCTGAAGTTCATGCCATTGAACTGTGTGTACGAAGGCTGGAATATATTCACCTTACACGCAGATCAATAAAAATTTTCTCAGATAGCGAAGCAGCTATAAAAACTCTTGGCTCCTACCGGTGTAACTCCAAAACGGTATGGAATTGTCAGAAAGCTCTAAATCATTTGAGCAAAAACAACAAAGTGACTCTGGTCTGGATACTCGGCCACTATGGTATGGAAGGTAATGAAATAGCGGACTGCTTAGCCAGAGAAGGAGCGGGATCACGATTCATCGGACCAGAACCAATACTTGGCATATCCTCAAGTACTGCCAAGATGGCTATCTCAACCTGGGCTGAAAGGAAAACTCTCCAGTATTGGCAAGAGTTACCAGGATTAGTTCATTCGAAGGCGTTTATAAAATACCCTTTGAAATCAAGAGCTAAGAAACTTTTAGAGTTAAACAGGGTAAATCTGAAAACTCTAACAGGCCTATATATCGGGCACTACCGACTAAACTATCATCTGCATAAACTCGGCCTAGCGGAAAACGCCGAGTGCTGTCTATGCCTGGAGGATGATGAGAAGGCAGACCACACCTTATGCACCTGTCCCGCTGTGGAGAGGATCCGATTCTCAATATTTGGCAAAGGGCAACTGCTCCCAGAGTATCTGGATACATTCTCACCCAATAAAGTTATCAGTTCCATTAAGAGACTGAACTTATTGGGTGAAATATAATTAGGCGTGAGCCACAATAGGCCTGCTGATGGCCGCAGTGGAGGGTCTACTGAGACCCACTCACAGCAAACCTAACCTAACCTAGAAATTGCATAGATTTCAGTAATATTAATACATTGTACGCCTGCTATAAACAAGAAGGTGTATATTCCACTATTGGTTTTCCTAATGCTATAATGGAAATCAGGTTTTCCATTGAAAATCTCGAAAATAGACGTATGAAATCACAAATAATATATTTACAGTGGCGGCAGACTAATTAGAAACGACAGCAAATAATAATTCAATATTTTTTTTATTCTGAAATTAACATAAGAAAATTCAAATATTATTTCGAGTTACTATTATTAGAGTGTTTATTTTTTCTGACGGAAAACGTTTCGTTGGGCGCCTACGGAATAAAGAGCTGATCCGCGCTTTACGAAGAAAACCGTGAAATTTTGAGGTGGGGCTGCTTTTCTTAGAATGGTGTTAGCCCACTTTACAGATGGTACCATGGATCAGTATGAATACATCAATATACTCTAAATGTCATGCAACCGTGTGGCTTCGTGGTCGAGGGGTAAGGACATTTGCCTCTTACACTGGAGTCTCGGGTTCGTTCCCCGGTCGAGGAGCTGAGATTTTTTCTAAACCAGAAATTGAGTCTAGCATACTTGAACATTGAGTGTGTGTCCATTGTGTAGCCCTTTTCTACACAAGGTACCTTGAGGTACTTTCAGAGATACAGGGGGTTGTATTACCTGTGATGTTTAATTAATTTAATCCTACGCAGAAGAAAGTTTATCGGTACTCTAGAAATTACAGCATAACAATGGTCCTAACACTGCCTGGCTCAAGATAATCATATGGATGTTTTAAAGGGGCCTTCTAGTAACCCACACCTTAACCCCATAGAAAATTGTTTGATATTAGTTAAAAATCAAGTAGGGTCGAAAATTTTTCAAAATTTTGAGGAATTATTTGACGGCATGGGCAGATATGTAAACGTTTAGTAGAGTCTATGCCTAGAAGATGTTTGAAAGTCATTGAAGCTAATGGATATCCAACCAAGTATTAATCATTAGATTTAGAGAAAATTTATTTGTTGCTAGAAGATTCATAATATTAATATTACGTTTTCAATTTGTTTACCGCTTAAAAATGTAATTTTTTTCAAATAACTTAAGAAATAATTTATTTAAAAAAATTTCAGTCTTTTATTTTATACAAAAATAAAAAATATACACTCTAACAATAGTAACGTCGGGGTTAGTGTGAGTTAGATATTCTCGCTTCCCAGTTCTATATTATTTAGAGGAGAGCTTTTTACTGCAGCAGCTTGGCTCATCGTAACAAATTTCGAAAGTTATTATACAATTTAAAAATGTTCTTATTTTTAGATGTTGTATTGTTCTAAAGTTTCTAGTTTTAAGCCCGGACCGGCCCCGCTCCCCCTACCTGACAATTGTTTCGTCGCCACCATACGCGGGGATGCTAGGTCGGCAACAGACCGGGTGCCGGGCGAGGGCAATATATACAGTTTATATGTAATTTAAATAAAAATGGTTTTGAATTTGAATTTGAATTTGGGGTTAATGTCATAGGTACCAAGTTTTTAAGAGATTAAAGAAAACTACACCTGTGGCAATTCTTATAAAAATGTTTAAAGCGTAAAAAGTATCGTTTTCCTATTACAGTTGTTCGTACGTTTTATTTTGTTATTATCCATGATTTGATCAAAATTTATTAAAATACCGGTTTGTTTTGGCTACAAAATCTAGTTCGTGAATTACAGATTATCACTAATGAACTATTCATACTATAAAGTATAGATGTACACATAAGATAAGAACAATATTTGTAAATACAAGTTAACGATGAATTATCTATAATAGGATTAGTCGGAGGCTTACCGTTTGTATTATTGAAATAAAAATATGTTTATATTCAATCCTTTAGGAATCTTAAGTAATTTTTTATGTAAATTATAAAAGATATATTGTTGTTATCCATTTTTAATATGCACTTATACTCGTACATATCTTAGGCTTATTTGGAACCTAATAAACTTTTTAATGAATTGAAATTAATTCAAAAGGCAAAAGCATTTACGATACAGTTATTTAAATATGACTCAATATTATTAGTGTATACGTAATAGCTTGAATCTCAATGCATAACTCGATAAATATATATGAGTTTAACAGTTAGAAATTTCAAAATATTGCGACTGTTTGAAATTTTGATGCTGAAAATACCAGACAAAATTACACCCAGAAGGCAATTTCTTGCTTAGTTGTATGTCACTAGTATTTACCTGATGTAACATACTAACAATATCAGAGGATTCAGAGGCTCCTTACAATAAACATTATATATTTGTTGTGCATTGACGAAAATGCAGTCCGCAAGTAGCGGAATTTTGTCAATGGATCCAATAAGTCTGGTGTCACCGTATGTAACACTGAAAAGTTTTCTAGCCAACATTTGACTAGCCTTCTCCCTTTTTTTGTTGTGCATGTATTTGTCTAAAAAAAGATGTTAACGGGTTGTCAATACAGTTTTAACTTGCATTTTAAAGTGTTCCTTCTCTGTTTAAAAATTTGTAATAAAATCAATCATTTTAGAACTATTTTATACATAGGTAACTTTTTGTTATATTTTTAAACTTATATATGCATACAGGGTGTGGTAATAGAGCGTCCGACTTCGATATCTCGAGTTCTATGATAGCTAGAAACCTGATTTAAAAACATGAATAAACTAGACAAAAAAGTCTATAAGCGGAAATTGTTTTCGAATATACAGGGTGAGCCAAGACTATACTACAGGGTCAATTAACATTCTTTTAAATGAAATGCCATGTATTTTAGAACATTCTTTGAAACCTCTTTGTGGCCTACTTTCGCTCCTGTATTATTATTGACTTTCTCCTAACCACTTGGATGTAATGATTTCATTTTTGTTGAAATTATACCATTTACACTTGTATATTAAAAATATCACTACAATCACAACTATCGATTTTAAGAAAAAATATGTTAGTACTAGTTATGATACATCTGTGTGATGACACTCAGCCATTTTCACTTCCTAAAAGTATACACTTTGTATATTTTTGGACGTTGTGATGTAGGATTGAAAAATGAACATTTTTTGTACGTACATTCCTATGGCTATTTGTGACTATTTTTAATTTATTGAACAATAACTGCAAAATTCAGCAACAAAAATTAAAAATGAGGGTTTTTTTCATATAATTCAAAAGAAGGTATATAATAAGCGTGCTACTTGATGCCCATAAAAACATCACACCAACAACAACCAAAATTTGAAGAAAAGGATAATGAATACTTTTAGATATACTCTGGCAATTTTATAAACAATAGAGACTTCATTTCAAAGACGCATAGAAATGTCTGTTAATCAAAATGGGAACATGTGGAGCACTTTTTATAATGTCTTCTCTTGAATTACTAAAAATTAATTTTTATTGATGAATTTTGCAGTTATTGTTCAATAAATCGAAAATGGTAATAAATAGCCATAGAGATGTACCTACAAAAAAATTTCGTTTTTCAATTCTACACATCGTCTAAAAATATACAGTGTGTTTCATTTGACAAAATTGAGAAAATTCATTTCAAATATTTGTAAATTTAAAAATTATTTTTGGCCACCCTGTATACTTTTAAGAAGTGAAAATGTCAGAGTGTCATCACACAGATGTCTCATAACTGGTACAAACATTTTTTTTTCTTAAAATCTATAATCATGACTGGTGATTTTTTTTATGTTCATGTGTAAATGGCATAATTTTAACAAAAAAATCATTACATCCAAGTGGTTGGGAAAGAGTCAATACTAATGCAGGAGTGGCCGAAGGCCATAAAGAGGTTTCAAAAAATTTTCTGATATACATGGTATTCCATTTAAAAAAAATGTTAGTTGACCCTTAGAATCGTCTTGGCTCACACTGTATATTCGAAAATAATTTCTGGTTATAGATTTTTTTGTCTAGTTTATTCATGTTTTTTAAATCAAGTTTCTAGCTATCATAGAACTCGACATATCGAAGTCGGATGACTAGTGCCCCACCCTGTATATCACTCTTACATTTACGACAAACATTCCCACTGACATTGCCAGTGCCGGAGGCGGAATTTGAACCCGCAGGACGATGGAGAGATCTAGTCACACTTGTCATCGCGTGATGTAGTTAACTACTTCACCGAGCTGATTAATGTTCATTTTATCATTGTGAAAGCACAAATCACCAATCTGTGGTGAAACAACTTATCACAAGAAAAGGGGAGTAAATATGCACTTTATAAGTATAAAAGCAACAATATGACAATGTTACAAGCAAGTGGCTAGGAATTCTTACAAAAATCTAAACAATAAGTTAATGGTTGCAACATATATCTCTTTAACATTTCCATACCGATAAATTATTTTTCGTTATAATGGCCAATTAATAGGCACTAATATGACTATTTAGATAGCTGACTTTGGACATATTTTCGTCAGTATCAGTATATGACTTAATTGCAGCCATAATACAACCGAGATAACCGTGGCTAAATAATCATCTTATAGATATATTTTAGTCAGCGTAGGCATAATATGTTAGCCATATTTATAACTTGTTAGCCATGATGATGCTTTCATGATCAAAAAATCATTCCACATTTTGGCTGCGTCATCGTTTTAAGAAGGTTATTAAAACGTCTTCGTATATGGTTATTATAACAAAATTATTTAAATTTCTATGTTAAATTTATCATAGTTACATTTATTTTTGAAACAACCATTATATATTTCGAACTAGTTACTGTAAATAGAACAATCTCTGTTATGTTAATTGGTCAAACGCAATTTGTATTGTAAATTGCACACTATAATTTCCGAACGAAAACTAGGCGTGCCCAGAATTATTTCAATTTCAATTAGAATACTTTTTGTTATAAAACGAGATAATTGTCTAATCACTGAATTGGTTTGGATTACCATATGCTGTTTACATGTAGCCCCACGAGTTATGTAATTCTACTATTTAATGTATTACACCATGACCATTGAATGAAGCAAATTGTAGCAAATAATCAGTATCACTCATTTTATCGCCTATCATTATACGTGCAAGCAGGAGAAATAAATTAAGATCAGAGGCGATTGTTTTCAAACAAATTAATTTATCAATAATATTCTAACAACCGATTCTAAATTATAATAATTGCTGTAATGAAAAAATACCACCCAGGTGGTATTATACATAGGTTTTTAAACATTTCAAATATTTAAGTAATAAAATTAACAAATTATGTATGGAGTATACCTACACTCAAATTAAGTTTATTGGCTTGTGTAGACAGACTATCGCCAGCTGGAAAATTTGACTCACAAAAGTCTAACGGTCTAAAATAACATAATATAGACAAAAGTTGCTAATTCTAAATCGGAGAGTTAACCACAAATTGTAAATTTTAGATATATGACGTCACTCTACACGATTTTGTCCGCTCACTTGCTTTTCATTAGGGACGATATTTATAGATTTAAAAATTTATTTAAAAAAAATAATAATAAGTTTATGATCCGAACCTGACCTACGGTGTGGGCGAGATTTCTAATGGTA